ATGCCGTTTTTAGCCGAAAAAAAAATGACCATGTAGACTATGCCGTTTCTTTAAAATCATAGAAATCACTCATCAGTCTTCGAGCTCATTGAGCGAGCAGTGGAACACTGAGATGATCTTCAGTTGCGCCTCTGGTCATTAGATTGAAATTGACTGGCTGTGACCAGCCACTGGAGCAAATTGTCAACGATGATGTTTAATGTGAAGCGTGCAACCTTAAGGGAAAAGGGCGCGCCCACCCCACTGCCTTCTTGTCCTCCTCCGGGCTAATTTGGAGGATGGTGACACACGGCCTCAAATAGATCACAGTTTCTTGCCCGTGGATTTCCCTTGGTAGTCAAGAGGATGCGGGGCCCCTTGCTTTAATATGTGTTCAGTCTCCCGAGGGTCGGTGTGGAAGGCTTTTTTTTTTTTTGCAAGCGTGTACTTCAATCGTACTGGAATGTAATCATACTCCACTTCAAATAAATAAGATAACATTTCACAATGTTGGGGTTTTATTCACATATACAGTACAAACATTCACTTTTTCTTCAATTCGTCACTGAAATGCATTTTAAAAGACCTTAGCAGCAGTTCTTCATATACTGTAAATGTACATCATCATTTGACATTTGAGGAGCTCTTCTCAACATCGATCGTAGAGTTTTACATATGTACAGTTGTAGGTTGAATATTGCCATTCAGACATGGATTGAATGTATTTTTGGAAACAAATGGTTAAGTCTGTCTGTAATGAATGCCGTTGACACACAGGTGACAAATAAAGCTTCATTGATTTACATGAGAGGAAAAGGCAATGTTTGGGGGTTGGTGCCTTGATTTTTTTTTTTTAACAAGACTTCGGTTGCTTCACAACCACTGGTACACAAAAACGTATTTAAAAGGTATAGCATGCTTCTGTGAGAATTTTTGAGACGGGAAGAATCTGCAGTATATCTTGACAGTGTACTTTCCGTAGTTCTGAAGACCATCGAAGCGACTTATAGTCACAGATCACCACTTTAGACCAGGGGTCCCCAACCTTTTTTGCCCCACGGACCGGTTTATGTCAGACAATATTTTCAGGGACCGGCATTTAAGGTGTGGCGGAAATAATACAACAAAATAATATGGTATGAGCTGCATGAAAACTGTGGTGTTTTCGAAATATAATAATAAACACAAGGAGCGTCTAATCTGGCCGCAACACTCCAATCGCTATGGCAATGTTTAATGCCTTCAAAATACGATACAACGCAAATTCAAAGTGCATGAAAATGACGACTCACCACAGCACCGAGCTTGATTTTCTGCAACCAGACAGTCCCATCTCGGGGTAATAGGAGAGACAATGACACCGCAAGTGTGTGGTTTATGTCCAGTCTACTTCGTAATTTTGTTTTCGTCGCCGTTGCTGCATAATCCCCCCGCCTCACACAGGTAGGATGTCGGAAATAGCAAAAGTGCTATTGTGGCGATCTCAGAGTATTCAGACATAACTTTAATCCAGTTGTCTCGAACGTACTTTTAAGGCCGCCGTCATTTGCGATCTCCAGCAGTTTTTTTACTCATTTTGCGAGCTACTGCGTTTTGTTTTGAAGTAATCAGTCACGTGATGGAGAAGCGTGGCTTGACGTGTGTCAAGCTAGACACAGACGGATGTAACGGAGAATCCGGTAAGTTTTCAAAATAAAACATCTTTCGTATTCCGAAATAAATAAAACGGAATTAAGGCAAGTTCTTTCTGTGCGGCCCGGTACCAAATGCCCGGCTGACCGGTACCGGTCCGCGGACCGGCGGTTGGGGACCCCTGCTTTAGACCATCTACATGAGATCCAATGCAGGAGCTGTAGGAACGGATATTGGGGATAGCGATGCAAACTACAACCACAATAACACACTTGTGTCAACCAAAAGCAAAAACAATATCTTTCGGAAGACGTCCCTTTTCAAATTGTTCTTTTTCTACGCCGCTGTGCTGGTTATGACAGTACTGTACATTATTTAATATTTGACAATTCAGTGGCGGCAGGTTGCACCGCGAGGTGCTATGTATCACCCGATCACATATCAATTCACCACAACATCATGAGCACTTGCACAAACTACAACCTGAAGAATACCGTGAAGTTTGAATTAAAAACGGGGTGCGATCATTGCAAAGGCGGACTTTTTGCTTTTGTATTGGATCTCATTAGATTCTGCATTATCGTAAAGGGTTTACTGGTCAAGTTCTGTTTGTGGAACTCGTGGGCATTTTTGCGTATGCGTTGGCTCGCATGTTGACTTGATACTTCTCCGATTGTAAAAGTGTCTGCTTCTCGGGGCGGAGGGGGCGCGGGTCAAAGGAGCACGGCATGGAATTGCCACAAGATGTCGCTCTCACTGCTTCCACGTTTTACAGGCCGGACCGCTAGCTGTCAGTCTCTTCAATTAGAATCCAGATCAACGCTGCTGACTTGTGGGTAATGTAATACTGAGCTACATTAGTGAGAATGCATACTCTCTAAATCAGGAGCAATGATGGGGCAGCACATGGAACATGTGTCTCGCACATGGGCCTCACGCTTGAGCGTTCCATTTTTCTTTTTGAGGGGGTCGGGGGGGTTGCATAGGTACTCCCACATTCCAAAAACATCCTGGTTTGACAAACTAAGGACTGAAAATTAAATATGAGAGAGTATATGTTTGCAGGGATGGCTAGATTATTACTTTTTTCCTCTCCTGGGGCTGAAAGGGGATTTCACCCACTGATGGTGGTGGTGGTGGTTGAGAAAATCATTTATAAATATACTGGACACCATGATTATTAATTATCACCACCATTATGAGAACATGATCAGAGCTGTTGCAAATCAGGTCAACAAGGCCCCGGCGTTCAAAAAGTGATGTGCAATACTGAGACGTGGATCCAGGTCAGAACACAAAAAAGGGTCAGGAGACGTATTAGGTATGAAAGAGTTGAGCAAAAAAAAAAAAAAAAGCCGCTCCCTCCATCATCGGCTTCACGCGCACTTTGAGAAGCGCTAATGGCCGCGCTCACGCACCTCATCTTCTTCCGACCCAGTGGGGTGTATTAACCTGTCGTCTTGTGTTCAACTGTGCTGCGCTTGAAAAGCGAGGCTGCCGTGAGATTGGCAAGGAGCAGCGGGGCTGGGGGGGTAGTGATGTGGACAAAGGACGTGGCGAGAAAAAGGGCCGAGTCAGAGGGCAACCATAAAGAAAGGTGAGGGCGGGTGGCTTGAGATGGCATTGAATTGTGTCTCTCCCTTCTTTTTCCTCACTCTCTCCTCCCATCGCTTTCTCTTCCTCTATCACCCATCACCATGACAGGGCCAATAATTGGACGTGGTCCTCTCTTTCTTTCTCTCTCTCGCTTTCCTTTCCTCTGTCTCTTTCACTCCCTCCCATCGCTTTGCTCCTCAGCGGGAGCTTTGGGGCCCGGAAATAGCTGATGACAAGATAGCGGCTGCCTTTCATTTAGCTCAAGGTTACTCCACCCTTCTTTGACAGACGCCACACCTGAGGGTTGGGGGGCGGGGGGTGTAGGAGGGTGTGTTGGGACACATGTGTGTGTGTAACTGAGTTTAGAGGAAACAGCATGAAAAAAAAAAAAACGAAAAAATCATTTCCTGTTCCTTCTGGCACATCCAGTTGACCTTACGTTTTTTGTGTTTTTTGGGGGGGGGGCTATGTTGAGCGGTGGAGTGGATGTGTGGCCCATTCACAACCAAACACACACACGCAATGGTGACAGTTTCCGCTTTGCGCTATGCAGGTGTGTGTTTTGCAAAGAGCATGGCCCCTACCTTACCCTCAAAAAATAAACATTAACACTTTCACACTTACATATGCTGAAAAAAAAAAAAACGGTGTGCTGAATTTACCCAACTTTATCTTGTCAAGTGGTTGTACGAAAAAAAATCATCTGGATCCCGACACATTGTTTACATGAACTATACACTTACTTGAAAAATGCACCTAAAGCCAGATGTTTCTATTGTGTGCAACCGCTTGACAAAATATGATTGAGTAAATTCAACACATCTTTTTTTTCCGTGTTCACAGATACACAGAGAAAAAACACTTCAGTCCGATAGCAGGAACTGTTCCTGCTCAGGTGGCTTCTTCACCCATGTGCCCAGGCCTGTTTCTTGGAGAGACCTGAACCACTGCTGTTTGACTGTCTGGTAAGGGCGTGCCGCCATCTTGGCCTGGCAGTAAACCGGCTGGCCGTCCTCCGAGCGGGACGCGGGGATCCCCAGCTAGCAAAGACGAGAAGAGCAAAAAGAAAATCATGACGTGCGTCGTGGCTTCCATTGTGACCTAGTACGTTTTTCACACGAGTGAAGAAACATCGTCGTATCGAGCATCGGTTTCTGCAATCACTGTTAAAAACGCTGAAAACTTTTTTTTTCCTGTAGTTAACATGAACCAATTCAGCTTTTTTTTTTCGTCGGGTTAGTCAATTGACATTAGATGAAGTTCATGAGAACATAGTCTGTACTCAGTACTTCTACTTTCACCAGTTTTTTTTTTTTTTTAACTACCCTTCTATTAACCCAATGAATGTCATTCGAAAGAATAAAACGAAATCTGCTGAAAGGCTAAAGGTTGCAGTGGTTGAGCGAGGGAAGATGACAAGCAAAACAAAGCGAATGAGGTGGCACAAATGCATTTAGGAGGGGGTTGGGCCTTCAACAGCTGTGTAATCTCCTCCATTTAAATTTCACAAGCAATTGAACATTCTCGGCGCTTTCTGTGCATTACTACTGTCGCAAGGGGAAACAATGAAGATCAACACGCAGACAAAGGAGCTGGGGGTGGGGGTATGGGGGGGGCTAAGAATGCAAAAGTTTCTTCTGGAGATTAGAGTGACTGCTCTTGCGTGGCCCTTATATGCATCGCGAAGGGAACACTTAGGTTAGGAGGAGAGGGTGGAGGGGAGTCGGGGGCGTGGGGGGTTCGAGTACTTCTCCAAATAATTATCGTTTCATAGTCATTATGCTGTAACGGCCGCCATTTGGTGATGAAGCCACTGTTTGTTACATCAAGTTTCTGAATGGAAATTAGAGTGCAGCGAGGTCTGCAGTTAAAGATCGACGCTGGCAGGTTGCGATAAGCCGCCAACAGCGCATGCTGGCGGGTCAACGCATTTATCTACGGGGAGAAAGACAAATGTGTTGTGCTTGTGTGTGTGTGTGTGTTTTTTTCTCTTGATGTTGGCACAGATCTCCTGATAACGTGTGCGTGTGTGTGTGTGTGTGTGTGTGTGTGTTCCGATGGAAATGGGCCGCTCAATGTTTTGATTCAATGGAGTGTTGTCACTCTATACAATTAGAAAAGATTGACATCATCCTTCTCGTTGTGCCATTGCATGACACACGCGCGAGCCCTTTAAGAAAATGACAAATCGTCATTTTATTTTGCCTTCGGCACTTACGAAATTTGCAAGAGAAGAAATAGGAAAAGGCAAGGAGGAAGCTTCCTGTTTTCAAGGAATGCCAAGTTATAATTCTGTCGGTGAGAAGGAGCACTCTTGTCACCTTCTTCTTATATGTGCGTTAACAGTTCCGTAACACACATCTGTGACCTCTAACGACCTTCGTAAGATTGTTCAAGGGCAATATTTTTTATTGCGAAAAGCGTTTGGCTTGTTTTCACACATGTATGCCCGGTGAGAATGTTACTTCATGTCTGCACGTTTTTACCTTGTGTGTGTTTTTAATCGGATTTGACTGCCTTGAGTTCAGTGCTGCGCTTTGGTTGTTGTTTATTTTTTTTCATTAAAACATTATTTTTTCCAACATGTACATTGGAGGAAAGTAAACATTCTAAAGCCAAAGGGTATTTGCTTCTCTGAGGTGTCGTGTTTGCTGGCTGACATTGCAGCAAGGGCATCTTGATGGCGCGCCGTTGTTCTTTGCGCAATGACCTCCCACCATTATGACGAGAGACGCGGGCAACCTCCCTTTGTTGAACTAAAACATTACACAATAGTTGAACTTATCCAAAATCGGATTTTACCGACCGAAATTGCTTAATACATTATCGGGTTTCAGAGAAGTGTTATCTTCCGTTTGCTGTGAGTAGCTCACAATGGAATTGTAACCTTGAGGGAACATTTGCCACGGAAATGTTCCACGCGAGTAAAATAAATCAATGTTGGCTGATCCACAGCTGAGACAAGAGGGGAGAGTTGCCGCCGTTAAAAAGAGGAGAGGAACAGATTTCTGGTCGGACGGACTCTGCATGAAACACACTGCTTGGCGCATTTAAATCGCATCTCAGATCTCGATGACTTAAAAGGAAATATTCCAAGAAGAAGAAATATTCTTCACTTATTACTCGCAATTTGTTATGAACAAAGTTAAGTCAGAGCAACAAGTGGAAACTCAAATCATTAACCCGGAGAATCAATCCGAAAGTCAACAGAGGTGGAAAATTGGATCAGTGGCAGAGGCTGATCAAACTTCTTTCCTTTGGCTGCAGAGCGCCCTCCACCTTTCCTTGGACCTCGTCCACACTTTTGACATGCTTCTTTGAGACACAGCGACGGTACGCAATGCTTGCCTGAAAATGTCTTTGCTATCCTATCCGTGCGCCAAGTGCTCTCTTCGTCCTCATCAGTACGACACTTCGGCAAACTAGGAGAACGACTCGGTCTTACTAGTGATGTTCTTTGTTTCAAAAAAAAAGGTTTGTGATTGCCTATAGATATCACAAAACTCTGTTAGACAAGGCTATGGCCTGACCAAATGAAACTCCCTCTCCCAGTCCAACACAGTTGGCCCCAAAATGTGGCTTTTGGCCAAAGAACAAAAACAATAGGTGAGGTTTTTTTGGGGGGGATAGATCCCACCCCCCAAAAATCTGCAAATAGTCAAATTTTCAAAAGCTGAACCGCAAATATACAGGAATCAGGCTGAACATCAAACACTATGGCGTGCACATTTCATCACCATTTGTCAAAATAATTTCACAGATGTTTTTGAACCTCCCAATGGCTCGTTTCGGCAGAGTCGAGCGAGCGAGTCCTCACCTTGCAGTAAAGCCTGTTCCAGCGCGTGAACAGTGCGTGTTTGCAGAGGCGTGAAGGCATCCCTGAGTCACGTCTCCTTCCCGTGGCGGTGTTGACCACCTCCAATTGCGCGTCGCCCAGCGTCCAGTTGACACTCACGCACAAGGCCTTCCCTGAATGCTGATACTCGTCACAGCTTAACCCTGCGGGAGAGGACCAAACACAAATGGAGACTTGACGAAACCGCTCGGAAAGCCCCAGTTGATCCCAAGTGAAAGAGTCCCTCCGTGAGGTGTAGCGAGTTTACCAGTCAAATGTGACTGACACCTGACAATTTTTTTCACATGACTTGTAGTATCGTCCAATCTCTGTGTCGTGGGGTTAAGGTCACCATGATCCATGACTTTCAATTTCAAATCACATCCAAGCTGATGTTTGCTTGATGGGAAAAGGACGGAAGTGACCCTCACTTCTAACCACTGTGACCAGGCGGATTTTTGTGTCTCAGGAATTTGACTGTGCGTCTCGTTTGGTCTCAGCTTTGTTCTTTCCCGTGTTCGCGCCTTCATCGTCTGCTCCGTGCGACTCTCCAGCGCCATCGTTTGCCTTTGAGTTGTAAATAAACATTTCCGGTTTGGGTCCACGAGCCTTTGGCTGCACTCCGCATGTCGACGGATCTCCATTTCCGCATCATCCCCATTATTTCTCCATACCCGCAGTTGCTCTTCTTTTGCAGCTGGAATGAACTGCCTGCCAGACGACAATCCGCACTGTGTCTTATTACCCGTTTCCTCTCTCTTTTACAGACGCACTCCTTTGTACAAAAGAGGGGCTCTATCCATCTTGCCTATAGCCTCCCTTTTTTTTTTTTCTCAAAACATTCATGGCTCATTGGATCGCTTCAATGGACTCCTCTCCTCTCTGTCTGTAATAGCCAATTTCATTTTTCTTCCCCTGATGGAAGACGTGATTGGGGTCTCGGTCTGGGAGAGACAATGCTCGGCAGACGTGAAAAAGGCGAGAATTAGTGCGTTTAGTTATGAGACCTGTGACGGTATCACACCGCGGTGGGTTTAAATCAGAAGTTGCCGATCCTGTATGTGTTCACTTGCTTTATTTTTCTCTCATTCATTGCTCGATAATATTTATTACTGTAAACATATTTTTAGAACCAACATCCATAGACAGAGATGCCCCACATTGCGTGCGTAAGTTGCTCAGGGAGTGGCCTCGATTGGAAGCGATGGCTGACGCAACGTCGACAAGCTGGATGTCATCCAGAACCTTTCCCAGCATTCAGCTTCACTACAAACGAAATTGTCGGGTCCCGGTGGAACCTGGGAAGCGGCGTTGCTTGTCTGGCTGCCACAATGACACTGTCGGGTTGGGCAGCTGGATGAGTTTGTGTGTCTGTGTGTGTGATGTTTGCACGCACTGCTGCTGCTGCTGCTGCAGCTCATTTGGTACAAAGTTGACATGTCTGGAATGAGACGATAAACCTCATTCGGCAAACAAAACACAACCGTCAAAAAAGAAAAAAAACAACAAAAAGAGATGCTTCAAGTAGATTCTAAAACACGGAGGCATTTTTTGGGAACGTAAGAAATGAAAGCGGACATTGTAATTTAGTTGCGGGGGAAAACAGTGTCAAATCGTGTGAGTTTTAGCAGTTTGGAATTGATGCGGGTCAGTCAGATCAAGTAGATACATAAAAATATTTGGATTTTACCTCACCGTTTGTATTGTAATCCCTTCACACATGAAAATCAGGCATAAGACAGAGGACCCTACTTTGCATATGTGTGCATGTGCATTTTTTTTTTCTTACCACTGAGCAGCGGCTGGTTGCGTTTTGGGAACGTAAGAAATGAAAGCGGATATTGTCATTTAGTTGCGGGGGAAAACAATGTCAAATCGTGTGAGTTTTAGCAGTTTGGAATTGATGCGGGTCAGTCAGATCAAGTAGATACATAAAAATATTTGGATTTTACCTCACCGTTTGTATTGTAATCCCTTCACTCATGAAAATCAGGCACAAGACAGAGGACCCTACTTTGTATATGAGTGCATGGCATTTTTTTTTCTTTCTTACCACTGAGCAGCGGCTGGTTGCGTCTATAACTGGCGGGAAGGGGGCCCAGTCGTTCCTGCCGCTGATTCAGGACCCTGCCCAGATGGCCCGTGTGGCGCAGGCTGCCTACGGTCACGCTATGAAGGTACACAGGCTCCATTAAGTGGCTCAACAGTGCCCCCTGCAGGCCAAGAATATTCCACCTGCGTACGAGGAAAGCGGAAGGCTCCATTCAGGAGTGTTTTATGCAGATGACAAGGTGAGGTCGATGGTGTGGAGAGGAAAAAGGTTTGAGGGGATCGTGGAGGGATGGCGAAAGTCAGCGGTTGGTTGAGCTAAGAGCGCGGCGACAGGCAGAGTGAGGGGCGCCGATTTGAGAGCTTCGATGACAGGTGGAGACAATTTGATGGTTATCTTGATGTGGGACGTGATGAATAACATCTGCCGGACCGTCAATACAAACAAACACACCATTTTCCCCCTGGTTAGAGAGACAAACCATCAGCAGTGGCAACAATAACAACAACACTGCCACAGGTCAGCGCATCAGCATTCATTACCACGGCAGCACATTAGCATGCGTGCATTTGTCAGTGCCAGTGGGGTTAATGCACTGCACAACGTCGCAGGCAGGCCTCCGTCCATCACCGAGCGAGAGGTCGATCACTGCGAGTTTGTTAACGGAGATCCGCCTGTGTCGGCGGGGATTCATCCTGCCTGCCTCACTGACGGCTGATAAGGTAGCCAGCCGGACCGGACTTGGAACACCAACTGCTGGGATCCTCGGTTTAGCGAGCAGATGTTCATTCGCTGATGGAAAATGATCATTCTGATGTTGATATTCGTTATGTTTTTATTGACGACCAAATTCCTGCGCTTGCAAAAGGCGGATTTCTTCCGAAGCAAAGGTCTCCGATGAGAAACATTGCCGTCCTTTTGGTTAATCAGCGGCGCTTTATCATGGGCGCAATTACAGTGACTACTGTTTTTCTTTCATGGCTGACTTAATAATCACTCATTACAGCGCCTTTCACTTCCTAAAGCAGTCAATTAACATTAGCGGCTATCTGGGAATCGCTAAATGAGCTCATGATGCGGTGGCCACATTTTACCTGCAATCTGTCCACACAGGCGCTCAGAGCTTTGCGCAGACGCACACACTACCTCTGCCAAAAACCAAAATGGTTTAGCCTGAAATATTAATTTAGCCAGAAAGCGACACCGTGAATCAGAAACATCTTCTAATCTCATGCAAGAAAAAGCAGCCATCTGGCTCGGGTGTATGAATTTAAAAAGTGGAGAGAGGAGAGAGAGAGGGAGGAGACCTCCGCTCTCGCTCTCAGTCGCTCTCCCCTTTCTTCCCACCCTCCGTAAACGCCGCCATTAAAGTAATGTGATCATCTGCATAAAACTACGAAAGGATGGAAAACATCATGATTATATGAGAGCCATTCAGGACCCTCAATTAAACCCAGCTGTCAAATCAAATATTAGCGCAGGGGCATCGGCGGGCATCGGCGACTCTCCGCCTGGCCTAAGAGAACATAAATGGCTGATTATCACCATGTGGCGTCCGTGTAAGTGACTGAAAATGTTTATGATTAGTGGAAAGAGCCTACAAAAATGCTCCACGTTCAAGGCTAAACTAACTATAATAAAGTACAGGTCCCGAAGGAAGAGGGGGATAAAAAAGTAATAGCACTGTAGAATGGGTGTTACAGAGGACAAAAAGAGCATTGACGGGGATCACTTTAAGAGCGTGTGTGTGTGTGTGTGTGTGTGTGTGTGTGTGTGTGTGTGTGTGTGTGTGTGTGTGTGTGTGTGGTTTCTTATTGCTGTCCTTGGTCACATTGCAGTCCTCTCACCCTCCACCCTGACCTTGATAAAGCGGCCCTTGGTGACCCACTCACTTTAACGATGAACACCGGTGATTTACAGCGATATAAAGAGTGCTCAGAGGAGGCTGCAGAGCAAAGAGTGTGTCTGGCTCGATGGTGGGAGAGGGGGGAAAAAAAAAATCAGGGTGTCCCTTCACCCTCCTCTGTCACTCCATTTTTTTTTGAACAAAAAGTAATTGCTTTCACCCTTGGTGGTGACCTGGGTATATTTAATCACACCATCTCCAGCCCTTGCCAACTGAATCAAATTGGTCAAATTAACCGCGGCTCCACAGGAGGAGGGTTCACCTCACGCTATCACACACACTATCTGGCTCGCTCTTTCTCTCTCTTGATATGTGCTTTTATCAACCTCTTCACACAACAGAGGACTCAGCGATGGTCTTCTCAAACTGAAACTCTAAGGTGCAGGTCTCGATGAGGCTCATTTTTAAACATATGAGCAATTGATATGAGAGACATTTTTTAAAATTCACTGTCGACCTCACGGCCTCACGGTGCAGAGTCGATTCCGGCTCCGGCCTTCCTGTATGGAGTTTGAATGTTCTCCCCGTGCCTGTGTGGGTTTTCTCCGGGTACTCCAGTTTCCTCCCACATTCCAAAAAACACGCTGTCAGGTTGATGGAACACTAATTTGTCCCTCGTGTGAGCGCGGACGGTTGTTTGTTTATGCGTGCCCTGCGATTGCCTGGCAACCAGTTCGCATGGAAGGTTGATGGAACACTAATTTGTCCCTAGTGTGAGCGCGGACGGCTGTTCGTTTATGCGTGCCCTGCGATTGCCTGGCAACCAGTTTAGAGCCGATTAGAAAATGGATCGATGGATGGTGCTTAGTCCCGATTTGTATTTATTTAGCAGCCCAAACCTGGTCATTTTGTCAGTGCAGGACATGGTGATGAGCTGCTCTCCCTGTAAAACGCCATCCCACGTCTGGACGGACCCCCGACGCCTGACTGGGACCGTTCCTTCGCCGGATTCGATTTTGGTTCGCAGGTGGCAACGGTGCTTCCTCATGAGGTGTCTGCTGCTGGGTACTGCAAAGAGAAAAGACGCACCTGAGCAAGAATGTGATGTGACAAAACGAGGGAGATATTAGTTTATGTTTATGGAGCTCTGTAATATTTTCGAGGCAGAGATGGTTTTAGGTTAGCACCCACTTACGGTCTGTTGTGATTTCGTAGGGCGAGTTGAGTCTTCCATCCCCGCACGGCGAGGTGCTGATGTACATGTGGAAGTGGACGCTGTCTCGCAACCTGTAGCTGCGTTCCTTATGCCGCACAAAAATGGACTGTTCCCAGTCATCTGGCCTTTTACTTTGAGAGCAAACAAGCAAGACAAAATAAAAAAACAATATCATGACAATAAGCAACATAAACAACAACTCTTGTGATGTTTTTCATTTGCTGATAATAAAAAAATTCACAGCATCAATCCTATTGTACGAGCTACGTCACTGGCCTCGGCTGTGGTAACTCCCACAGCAGCGCATACCTCCCTCTCTCAGTTACGTGTGCGCTTGCGTGCGAAATTACCGACACGGGCTCAAATCTTCACCCAGTCACGCCGTGCACCACGCACTTCATGAAAATAAAGCCCATTGAGTAGTGTTAGTTCAAAAAAATCAATCATGCTTTACCTTTGAATGTAAATTCGATCAAAGTCTAATAATCCTAACAGTTCTGTAAAAATGAATGAAAAACAAAACAACTTGGATACACCTGATCACAAGTGGGTCATTGCTTCACAGGATGGTATATTTAAAAAAAAAAAAAAAGAAAAAAAAAGCATCACAAGCACTCTTTCAATAACCTCTCATCTGTCTGTGGTGTCCTTTCACTGTGGGTAAATATGTCAGTTGTGGCATTTTGGTGGGTCATTTCATTATGAGTTATCTCCTCCATTAGCCTTCTTGCTCAACCGCAACTCCTTGTCACTGCCATCCAGCATTGTGCTAAGATGGAAAAGTCTGGCTGTGTATGCAAATATGACATTCTGCTATCTACACTTCTTGCCGCTAATCTGATGAATCAGCCTTGCCATTAAGTTCTCGGCGGCTGGGGGGGAGGGGCATCATTTTTTGCTCATGGAAGCAGGCCTCACAGCACATCACGCCTGTCTCTTGGTGCCTATTGTGGGAGTATATGCAGACTGGACCACGACACTGAGAGCACACAAATTGGGTACATTTGCAACAATTCTATTAAAAAAACAAACCTCCAAACACCCCCCCCCCCCCGAAGGTTATCAAGACTCTGAGGTGTTCCATTAGCTGGCACGCATAAGGTGTTGTGATTACTAAGAAGTCACAGTGAATGGAGCCTTGCCATGGAGCTTATTATAGAAGATTCCTAGCGCTGCAGTAGGAGGTCACGCCAAATAAGCTCCTTAATGCTATTAAGAATTGAATGTGATAAGTTGTTAAAGTTGCTGCAGGCATGTTGGCAACAAACGCGATGCAAACCTGGCAAGTTGCGAAGCTTGGGCCCCGTGCGCTGTGTTCAGATCATCACAAACATCAACTTTAAAGGTAATGCCTCCGAACATGCTTCATTTAGCTCAGCGCCTTCAGAAACAAAAGTGATGTTTTTGTTCATGACTAAGGTAAACCTCAACTTGCCCGTTGCCAAGCTCTCAAGCAGAAAATTGCAATATTGTTGTACAATTGTGACTGATGACTTGATTGCAAATAAATAGAGAGGAGAGACTTTCAGAATAAAGTGCCACAAATGGAGCAGCGAATGTAAAGCCGGACCGTAATAGCACTCGAAAACCATGCACTTGAGTCTGTGCTTTACCTAAAGAAGAGCTCAAGTTGAGAGTAGAGGAAGCGTAGCAGGGCTCTGCGCACAGTCACTTCAGCATGACAGTCATTGACCACTTGTCCCTGGTCACTCAGATTCTCCCCGTTGATGCACTTGGTTCCCGTAGACAACGCCACCACCTGGGCGTGGTTAATGTCCAGACCTGTCCAACACACAGACACGGTTGGCGTGAATACATTTCCAATCATTTAAAAAAAAAAAAAAAAAAAGCCACATAATGTCATTGAAGGAGATGTGTCTTCCAATGTTGAACTTTTTTTTTTTTTCTGAAACAGAGGAATCCCATTTATTGGTTTATATCCATAAAGAGGGATAAAACAGGTCATAGTGGATTGTAGTTTTGATTTCTGGAGACGATTTGAATTCGAAACGCGTCACACTGACCCGATGAGAACGAAAATTGAGCAAAGATCAACGTCAGAAAGCTCCCATGCAATTTCTTTACCTCAACGGGTGCTCACGCTGTTTGTTTCCCAGTGCCTGCGTGTGTCTTCTCGATACCCTCCAGCTTCTCCCTGCGCGCACCTGATCCGCCATTACCTTTTCCGGCTTGATCACCTGTCATCCATCAACCCAGCAGCTTTCCTCCTTTTGCCAGGTCATTGTCTCGGCTACTGCATTCACCAGCTCCCGTCAAGACTTTTCGTGCTTCCTCGCGTGATTAATCATCATTTACCTCGGCTCCCTGGGTTGCCCTCTCAGGTTATCGTGCTTGCCGGGTGGCCCACCTGCCCGCCACCTTGTCTGCTCCATTCGCCACCCTCTCTTCCCTGGTTCATTACATCAGTTCTTTGCAACTCACTTCATTATTCTCTGTCAGACTCGTCGTGCTCACCGACCTCCTCCGCTAGATCCCCGTCTTTCCATGTAATGTCACAATATATTCGCACAAATATGAGAATCTGTGTTTGGGTCAAGACCGAGTGGCTGCATATTTAATGTATCCCGCTCGAGGTAATATTTGCCTCACACTTGTTTTATCCAAAATTTCTCATCGTGATGATTTCCGAGAGCGGCGTAAGGCCGTGCGAGCGTGTGATGCGCGGCGGAACATGAATGGCAAGCCATTCCTTTGTCGGTTGCCTCACATCACTCCCCTCGCCTCAGAAAGTCAGGCTCTGTTGGCTCCAGGCAGATCCGCAGGCGCTGCCGGACCTGCGCATGAGCTTTTATCAGCTTCGGCCCAGACGGCACAGTGGAAGGAAGAATCCTGACACCTCCATTGATGAGAGGAAATGGGGGCAAATGTTGGGAGGGTGGGAGTCATGGGTGGCATGAGGAATGTGTATGTGTGTGTGCAGTTGAGGAAAAAAAAAACAAAGGGAGACACATAACATGAAAGAACCCGTATTTGATTCTTTTTTTTTTTTTAATATGCTAATTTGTGGAATGCTGGTTAGCACTGCTACAGAGCGGTACAATGGTTCCAGGTTTGAGTCTTGTCTTCCCATGCAGATTTTGTATGATCACTCTCAAAGCCTCTCTGGTTGCTCTCCGGAAACTTTGGATTTCTCTCCGAGTCCAAAAACATGTCAGTAACAGTTTGCCAGGTCGGCCAGGTTACTCCTGTTGATTGTAATCTTATATGGGGCAAGGAAGGAATGTGAGGTATTTACAGTTCCTGTCCATTACGTAATATCTTTCATTTTTTAGTTTACCTCTGCACTGTGGCACAAATGATATCCGTCATGCATCATGCAAAAATTGTGAAAAATCAGGCTGCATTCAAAGGAGCCTTCAGTTTGGGAAATCCTACGCGTATGTTGTGATCACATCGACCTTCAAAACGCGGCCCCTGAATTGGGACGTGGCTTAAAGGCTTAAAGAAGTGATTATCATCTTTATTACATTTCAAAAGTATCGGAAATGTGATTGAAAATACTTCAGACAGACAGCGAGCTGCGAGGGATGGGCACCTGGCGGCATGCCTGCGCCATTATTTTATTATTTTATGATACACTGCCTATTCCTGTCTAAACTGGACAAAATGCACACATAATTATGAATTGAGTGCATCCAAAAATCTCTCCATTTTAAAATCTACACTTTGCATTTCCCGGTGAGTTTTCACTATATTTCCTTCACAGTGGAAAAAGCGAGTTCGAAAAGGTAACAGACTCCCAATTTCACTCTCCTGCTTCTCCACACCGTTCCACTTTGCAATTGTTTCGATCAATTTTGCAATGGATAATTTCTGCAGCGCTATTTGCTACCCTGCCATGAAATTGGCACCGAGTTTGCTGTTGGCTCGCAGGGGAGTGTGAGAGATGGATGCAAGGTGGAGGGCAAGGGGCGGGAGGCAAGCAGAGAGAGGCAGACGGCTACAGATAAAGCCCGCCCTCGAGCTGTGTTTTATAAAACCAGAAATAATCAGCTAAAATACAACGACAGAGGGTCAAAAGTGACATTTCTTCCCACAATCATCTGTTGATTATTGATGCTGCACTCTGTATATTTTATATATATATATATAATATTTTGTTTTTTTTTCTGCAGTCCATTCCGCTAGTTCTGGATCTTCCTTTTTGTCAACCTGGGGCACACAATCGATCCAGGACACGAAAATCAATCAGCCCCTTGCTCCAGCACTACCAGAGGAAAGTGGTGAAGCATGACAGGCTACACCGAGGCCACAATTAACACAGAATTTGCAGTACTTTTACATTGAAGAAAAATGCAAACTCTTTCTAGAAAGTATGGATGTATTCTTAATCTATATCTCCATGATTATCTTACTACGGGCCTACACAGATGCAGTTCCCTTTGCTGGACTCTCCCTCCAGATAAAAACGGATATTTTAAAGAAGAGCGTTTACAAACCATTCCAGAGCAGGAAAACGTTTGTCAGATTATGTTTGGCATCAACATGTCATCGTCCTAAAGCCTATCTTCCACGGGTTCTTTTGCCACATTAGGTTGCATGTCATCCAAAATGTTCTTTGGATCATGGGAAACCTCTGAAAATCCGCAATGCTTGTAAAGAGGAAGAGTTGGCAAGAATAGAAAGAGCACCCTGTTGAATCTTTATTAGTTTTAGCAGTCAACTGCTCCTTGCGCATAAGGGTGTCTTTGTGCAATGGTACTGAAGCTCCCAAAATCTCTCCCTGGGCTGAGACACACTGTGCACATCTCTGCTACCCCCCCAACAATCCCCCCATCTCCCCTCCACACTTTGAAAGGGTTTTCTTGCCGCATGCGATTACTGACGGGTACGTTTTCATGCAGCTTGAAAAACAGATTAAGTGGTGGGAAAAATCCCTGTTTGAAAATGAACGTGCAGGCTAAATAACATAACTTAGCTGTCATTTGTAATCAACATATTTTAATCCCTTTTCTCTCATCTTTTTTTTTTTCTTCGGTCTCTCTTGTTAGCTCTGTATGTTTCGCCATCTTGCAGCTAAGCTTCAATCAAGAAAGATGATTGTGGAAAAACCTTCATCCGATTCAACCAAAAGCAGTTTCCCATGCAGATTTTGAGATTTTTTTTTTTTTTTAAATGTCTTTGAGCCCATTTGAACATGAAAATCTCCACTCTATTTGATGCC